ATTATAACAAAATACTGGAGTAATTTCACAAAAAAATCATCCTGAACTTCGTGACATTGAATAAAACTTAATAATAACAATATCTTTGTTTTTTTCTTATTTTCTATTAAACGGACTGTGTTCCCAACTTATGATACGTAAGTATTTAATTCCTACCGTAGTTTAAAAACATTGATTTTTGATCGTTGCAGTTTCCATATTTAATTAACTTTTCAAGCGAAAAATTAAATCAATTAATCCCATTGCGATAACATCCTTGGTTTTAATGAACCATTGTAATGTCACCAACATTAAAGGACAAGACAATTGTGCTGGACTCCGGCGCAAGCAAGAATGTCTCTCAGCCAAAAACAATGTATTAGTCATTGAAAAGGAATCATGGTATACGACGACTATACGACGAACACATTATGTAGGTAGATAGGTAGCTTCTATGTAGGCTGACAACGAAGGGTTTACAAGACTTTTAAATGATAATTACAAAATGCTTAAACCATAGGTTCCCAAACTTTGAACGGTGAACCCACTCAGGCAAGATGAAAAAATTTTAACGCCCACCACCACAAAATTAATTGAAAATACGTATTTTTTGTATTAACTTAACACAAAAAACCACGAGGAAAAAATATATACATTATAAAATGTATTAAATAATTTAATATATATAAACTACAGTGCAGGTTTTTTTTCTAATGCGGTAGTACCCCCTGGACAGCATCAACGCCTCCAATTGCTTCCGACTCCCCTACCGCCCCTCTAGGCCCGTTACGGGACCACTATGGGAAACTATGGCTTAAACTATAACAAAAATCAACATTTCCATATTAATTATTTGTACCCATGCGACACAAAGATCTTAGTTTTGTCTATGATAACCTCTGACTATTTTTGGATGTAACAGCCGACTTTATGAATTTCACAGAGGTATAATGGGATTCTAATATAATTGAATACCTAATATAATAATAGTTAGTCTATATATGTATGTATTTGAAATACGTCCACCAAATTTTGTCGCCACATTGTAGGTTATTGAATATGGACTAGACTGTAAAACTTACCTACCTGGTTCAAAATATTCTCAATACAGATATCGAGAAACGACAAAAGAAACTTACTTTATAGATATACATTCAAGCGGATAGAAAGACACTGAAATAAGATGAGAATGTTTATAACACTGCACATTGTGCTATGACGAGGAAACTGTAGAAGTGCCTCGTATATGTCGCGTATAAAACTCCCAGTACATCCCACCCAAGCTTCCTCTCGCCATAACAGGGCTTGGGCTGTATTTCCCACGCGGGACCAACGCGGATCACTGCATGATTACATTATTTTGCAGATGTTTGAAGATTTCCTCATGATATTTTCCGTCACCGAAAAGCTTATGGTAAATTTGAAATAAATTTTCGCATACGAAAAATTCGTACTTACGCTCTCTACTTGAAAGGCGGTACGGCATACCATTAGGTTAAATGACCAATTGAATTTTGCATCATCACCTTTATTACGGGTATTTTCGGGTTCCAACAATATACAACACTGGGCAAGCGGGTTATAAATATACCAACCGTTCTGCGCTCATTCTTCGGCCGGCCCAAGGACGAGTGATCACCAGCCTCTGAGGATGCCTCATGGAGAGGCAAAAGACGTGTCAAGTATATTTGGTGGTGGTGTTTCTGACTGTAGTTGCACTTGTGTTATTTATTTTATTTTATTAATTTTTTTGCGGAGGTAGGGTGGGAAAATTAACCGCATGAATGCAAGCGAAGCTATTTTGCACGATTTAACCTTCAGTGGGTTCGCGGAGTAGCACATTAATTTACTTCCATTTTTATCATTAGGTTACCTTAGAACTTTTCTTTTCCAGTCTATTCAGGGATTCTGTTACATTCAAAAGTCTCCTCCCCCTTTCAGGGTCTCCTTTGTAGTGACACTTCCATTGTTAACTATCTAGGTGTAGTTTTATTTCAGACTCATTCAGTAATAAATAATGAGACGGTAACACTATAATAATCGTTCGTTTGTAGTCGACGTTGTTGTAGTGAAAGCAAAGCGTTGTGATTAATTTTCGGTCATTTATTGCAACGGCATTCTGGCAGTCAATTTATCATCAACGCACAGTGCGCGTAAATACATTGTGCAAAATCATAAATAATTATGGAGACAGGTACACAGATATTACAATCACTTAAGATTGTGGAGCAAGCAATGAGATACCTGAAAGTGATTTAAGAATCAATTAGCCACCCAAAGGGAAAACATTGGCAGTCTTTAACTAGACATAAAGGTACAAAATGTGTATTTTATAACAGATTTAAAAAAAGGAGTAAGTTCTCAATTGGACTATATTTTTTTTGTCTATATTACGCGATTTCCCCGACATTTGTGAACCGATTTCGATGATTCTTTTTTGTTAGAAAGGAGGTAGTGCCACATTTCGATTTTAAGAAAGTATTCCACCTCTACCGGTGTTAAAATCGAGGATGAATCCGACCCATTTTCCGTTAACCGATTTCAATAAAACTTGGCAAATTGATTTAATTCTGCAAATTTTCGAGGTCGGCTTTTTAAATAAAAAAGTTATTATTATTTCTTGTATATGTTTAATATGTAGTGTAGCTATTTTCTTGTATAAATATAATCGTAAGTTAATTAATCAATATAATATAATCTATTCCTTCAATGACGACGTGCAACCAGGTGTTAGTTATGTTATATTACATTGCCGCTTTATTACGACAGTACCACACTTCTAAAAGTGTGGATTACGATTAATCCACGTATATTCAACGATATACCATTAAGCTATGGTATTAGTTAGTTGTACAATCACGGTACGCAATAAATTTTAGGACAAAATCTATGGAAGTGATCTGTTTAGATCTTTCAGGTTGTGTCTATGATTGCCTACAAATATCTATTTACATAGTCTAGAGTTTTATTTCGCCCTTCTCGGGATAATGCCTTACGAAATAGTTTTTGAAGAGTTCTAGTATAATTTGTTTACCGAAACAAAAAGATATTAAATCTTAATATATATATAATTAACAATATAATTACAGAAAAAGTACAATAAAGCTTAAATACTAGAAAGTAAAACTAGGATTAAATTATTTGAATAAAATTGGTCCTCGCGGCAAGGTGCCCAACCTCCTGGCAGCGTTCCCCCTTTGTACGTCTATGCTAACGCGTTGGCAAAGGTAGCCAGCCCTTGGGTTTCTCTGACAGTCTACTAATTTTTTGGATAAGATTTAGAAATACAATAGAAATTCAGCAATGATTAATATGTTGAAGAAAAACAGAAATTAATACAACCCTTATTAAAACTAACTTTCAGTTTAAAGCTGTCTTATCAAACGCGGCAATTTCCGAGCATGTTTCTTTTCAAACTAGATCGATCGATATGAGGCATGCCCAATCGTTTAGCCACGACAGTGGACCGATGATTTGCTTTGCTCAATTCACTAAAGTAAACGTGACTGTGAAGTTAAGGAAATTACCCACTGCATCGTACAGGCTGTCTATTAGATTGCACGCAGATGTTTCAGGTCTTTTTCGGTCTCAGGTTTTATTATATCAAGTGATGAGACGAACAAGTCGTACGCCTGACGGTAAGCTACACGCCTGTTCACAACTTTTTTTTTTGACGCACGCAATCAACATAGCCCCGCACTAGGGAAACCCTGAGTCGCGGGTGCCATGGACACACACATAGACAACCACAAATTACACCCAAACTCACGAGAGAAATAAATGTAAGCCATACAAACATTTCTCCCGGCCCGGGAATCGAACCTGGGACCTCTGCGTGGCAGTCCGGCATGGTAACCGTTCGGCCGCGGAGGCAGTTAATTGCAGTGCCAATCAGAGCTTTAAATCGCTAAGATCTGAGGGGAAACTGCCACTGCGCCCGTCACCCTGAGAAATAAATTGACAACTCCCATGTGCCCGTAATTTCACCAGCACTCTTACCATTCAAAACCAGAACACATTAATGCTGACATTACTGCTTGGCGACAGAAATAGCTAAGGTGGCACTACTTCCCTGGACGAACTCTTTGACTAGGTGCTCTACTGCTAGTAAACTAGTACTACTTCATAAAAGAATGTAATTTTTTATCAAAAATGAGTTGTTTATGTACTTGGATAACATTTTTATGCTCCTTCTGTCTGTTTGCTTAAAATTGAGTGGTTCGCAGAAAAAAATATTTGTACTTAAAAACAAAAGAGACACGAACGTTTACAAATTGGTTTGTTTTCCATTCGTCTTGTAAATTTTGTAGGTTGGTATTTTTTTTTTCGTTTCTTCCCCAAAGAATTTGTTTTTTTTTTAGTACGTTCTGGTAATTTTCAGATATGATGTAGAATAATGTGTCACCACCAGTCAACACATCATAATCATTCAATCTGCATGGTGTCCAGAATGTAACCCGCCATGCGAACGTTAACACCAAACTTGCGTTGTTTTATTAGGGAATACAATTAAAATAGTGTCGGAAAGTAGTTTTCAAGGCTATACTAGAGTAGTAAAGTTCAAAAAGTCGCTATAACCGTTACGTCCTCCACCTAAAACAAGTTTTGGACCTTGTATTTAATTCAGCATTGTGTTCAATAACAATGTTGTAATCAATAGTTGCAATGCAAAAATATTTTTGAGAAAATGTGTATACATTTTCATTTTATCACTCGTTTTATCGACGAGATTCGACACGACCACGATACGACTCACGCCACTCACCTTTTCAACCTATCAAATGACTCAAGCTTTTTATACGACGAAAGTAACATTACAAATTTAAATTTACCTTTGGGAAAACGGCTTTTCATAAAATATCTACTTTATATAGAAAGTAAGAAGAGAGTATAAAATGTACGATAATATGCTTTTGCATGAGTACGGGAGAATCGTGGAGTTGACGAACATTGAGAAGTGGTCTAACTTTCCCGAAAACTTTTCTTTTTTTTGTTAACAGTTGTTTTTGCTTTTGTTGCAGGAAACTGATGTGTCATTTTTTGTGATGTAAGTTTTATTATTCTCTTAATACATAAATCCTACCCTTCGTAAAATAAAGTCACACGTGATAATGCGTATAAAGTGCTTTTATCACATAAAAGACATAAAAATAGCACGAATTATGTGAAACAAATTATGAATATTTGAAATTTTTTAACTCTCTTGTTTAAGTTTAAAAAAAATCATTTTTTTTATACTCATAATATAAATGACGGGACGAACAAGTCGTGCGCCTGGTGGTAAGCGACACGCTTATTCATAACTGTTGTAGTGCCACTCGGACCTTTATATCGCAAAGATCTGAAGGGCACTGCCACTGCGCCCGTCACTCTGAGACATAAGTTGACAAGTCCCATGTGCCTGTAATTTCACCATAACTGGAAAGTAGCAATGCTCACATTACTGCTTGGCGGCGGAAATAGGTAAGGTAGCAGTACTTCCCTGGACGAACTCTTTCACAAGGACCTCTACTGTTACTAATAACAAATTTCCTTCGTAGAATCTTTATACATCTCTCCCGAAAAGTTGTCACTTTGCAGATGTGACATTATTACACCAAGGGTGCAAAATATTTATTTTTTGCAGTCTTTTCATCCTTGCATTACTTAAAAAAATATATAGACAACATCACATAGGTACCTACGTAGATCTGATGCCGAAGTAAGTAGCTAAAGCACTTGTGTCACGGAAATTGGAAACAACGAGGGTACCACAAATACCCAGACCCGAAGACAATATAGAAAAGTTAGTTTTCTACACTAACCCGGCCGGGGATCGACCCCAGGACCTCGATAGATGGCGACACCATGAACACCAGTGTGCAAGCCACTCGACCACAGTTATATCGACGCTGGAATGGTAAAACCTCTAACGTACATTTGGAATTTATTTTTTAGGAGAGCCATTTAAAGTATTTTTTTAAGAAAAAAATCATTACTCTAATTTTATTTGTTATATGGAAAACTAGAGTTTTAGTTTTTCCATATAACAAATAAAGTTATGATTCTTTTTATTTACCGTACCATTGTTGCGTCGATGTATTTTAAGTTATATAAGATAAGTTGTTTATTTTGTTTACTTATTATCTTTGTATTTTAGTACTTCAATGAAATTGATCCTTTTCATTTCAATATTTAGTAGCAATAGCAAGTATGTATTCTTAAAATACAAGAAAAGAAAAAACTCAATTCAGTAAGTGTAGCGTCTGTGGGCGTCGTCTCTAGAAGATTTATTTTAGGTATCTACCCAAAAGTATTCAAGTCAATTAAATACATGAACGAGGTGAATCCACACGTCAATAGGTACAACTTTAGCTATTGAGAGTCTTTTAAAATTTGGAAAAAACCAACAGTTTCATATAAAATAACCTACTTTACCTATCAATACGATCATTTGTTCCATAAAGAAACGAGAGTCTTTGCCAAGATTAGAAGTAAACCTTTACTTAAACGACTAAACGATCAAGTAATTCGCTTGCATAGGAATGCGAATACAGACGGCCAACAAGTTTTTCCGGAAAACACACTAAATGCCAACCACATTGACATTTTATTCTCGCAAGACTTTCGCTTTTCGACGAAAGTTTTATGTCAGGTTTTACAAGTACTATACGAATGTTACGACAATAATGCAATGATTTATTACGGTACCAACAAATATCAAATTTTGTGCAAGTGTGCCTCCTTTCTTTCCCACTTATTCCATGACAAGGTCATCTATTTCAACACGATGTGCAATTAAATAATTCACTTGAAAACTTAATATCGAGCGCCAGAGCTCGTCGCTGCCAACTAACAAAATAATAAAGGAACCGAAATAAAAAAATTGGCGCTCCAGTGGATTCGTCAGGAATGTGGACACACAAAGTCTCCAAGTTAAACCTGATTCCTTTGTTATTGCTTGCAGAAGCCTAGAGTAAATGCGACCTCTTTTTCACAAATAAACAGTACGCGTTTATAAGACTATGGTATTTATTATCTATGCGACAGTCTTCGGTCATGGCGACCACTCTCAAAGATTACTAATGTAGCCAACTTCGAGGCGTACCCTTGTGCACATTGAGGACACGTGAATACACCGCCCACGTAATTATAATAACCTAAAAATGTCTGTGTTTTCCCCCCATCGTTTCAGTTCCTATTTGAAATTTTTTGATAGTGTATTTACTCAAGTTTTGTGTCAACGTAGGTACTTACACAGGCAAATAATCATAAATGTCTGCGTCTAACTCAATAGTAGCCTCGCTTGTGCAAATACATTCTGTCTTTATTTTATGTTCTGGCATTAAGTAATTTTCAACAAAGTAATTAAATGTTATGTAGAAACTGAAGCTTGGCAAGTTAGATTACTTACGTATTATTTATAAATACGATATAATTAAGTGTGCATTGCCCCTATTTTACAGTATTTAAACACACTGTAAGATAGCTTCATGGAATAAATGCTACTTGGATAGTAAACTCGGATTGTCAGTAATCAACTTATCACCCAAACTTACCAGTAGATCAAATAAAATTTTAACGTAATCATATCCATAAATGAGGTTTCTAAGTAGTAGTAGAACTCTACTACAACTTATCTCTATTACTACTAGACGAACTCTTTCTAGGGAAGTACTGTCACCTTACTTATTTCTGCCGCCAAGCAGTACTGTGAGCATTGCTGCCTTTCGATTTTAAAGAGCAAAGGTGCTGATGAAATTTTATTTTATTTTTAGTAGCAATGGAGCTCCTTGTGATAGAGTTAAACTATTTCTGCCGCCAAGCAATACATAATGTGGACATTACTGCTGCGTTTCGGTTTGGAAGCGTAAGGTGCTAGTAAAATTACGTGGGACTTGTCAACTTATATCTCAGGGTGACGTGAAGTGCCACTAAGATCTTTGCGATTTAAAGCTCTGTGTGGCACTGCAATTGTTATGGACAGACGTGTCGTTTACCACCAGGTACACGACTTGTTCGTCCCGTCAGTTGGTATCATAAAAAAAAGTTAGGTAAGGTGGCAGTACTTCCCTGGACGAGCTCTTTCACAAGGAGCTCTAGTGCTAGTAAAGATGATATATTTTTAACAGCACTTTTAGTTCCAAGTATGGAGAATGGTTATCAGAATCAATGCGAATCATTTTATACCTAACGTATTTATCCAACAAGGTGATGCATCAATATTGTTCAGATTGAAACAATATAGCTTCCTTGGTAACCTAACAGTAATAATAGTGGTACGTGAGAAGTACTTATGACGTGACTAAAACACGTCATGTCTTCATCAATTGTGTAGTTATCCTTTCTGACGTACTCGTGGTATTCTTTTGTTTTACATTTTACAAAAATGGAGATATTATATATTCTAAAAAAATATTATCTATATAGTTGGGAGAGCAATTGGCCCCGTTTGACGAAAAGTTGTTGGTTCGAGTCCAGCCAGCCAGTTATAAAATGTCACATACGTATGTGACATTTTATAACTCTCCTATTTAAGAATAAAAAAGTTATCAACGAATCGTATCGTAGAATCTTTAAACCAAACAAAACAATCGTAGAATCTTTAAATCTCTCTCCTGAAATTTTAATTTTGCTTATATGTCCTTATAACAATCAAGGGTGTAATTTCATAAGCCTACACAGCATGCAATCAAGTAGTCACGTGCCGCCAAAAACCGTATCTAGAAACCGACTCCGATGCACGCCAATGACACATTTCCTCTCACGACATTCCGATTTCGTGAATAGCAACCGTTACTCTTTCAGAACGGGGTAAAATTGAAGTGAACCAACCACAAAACTCATTAATTTTGGCAATAACTTGCTAGTGAAGACAAACTTTGTAAGCATCAAGTAACTTTGCTGTTGGATCCTATGCATGTAACATTTTATTTACTAAATCCTACGGATATTACAATTTATTAGGTTTTAACTCTAAGATGTATACCATACCTAAGATATGTACATACAGCATGATTAATAAACTCGTAAAAATATATTAACAAGTGACTTTACATACTTTTAAAATGAATCTAAGGATAAAATGAAAAAGGAAACTAAAAAATGGAAATAAACATTTAGGGTAGTGTGCGCTGGTATATTACGACGTTCATAAGTTTCCTATACTGGAAATAATCCACCAATGAACAGCTACCTATGCTATCCTTTTGCACCCTTACCATTCTAAACCGAAACGCAGCAATGGCTACATTACTGCTTGGAGCAGAAATAGGTAAGGTGGTAGTGATAGTGCTCAGAAGGGCTAACATGAAAGGGCGCGACAAGCGCGAGAGCGACAAAAAGCGCGAGATCTCTGTGCGAGAATAGCAGTATCTCGCGCTTTATGTCTACGCGCTAGTCGCGCCCTATCGTGCTAGCCCCACACATCTTTATGATTTGAAATTCTGAGTGGCACTGCAATTGCATGTCGCTAGCCACCAGGTCTACGACTTGTTTGCCTTGTTTGACTTGTTATCATAAAAAAAAAAGAAAAAGAAAACAATCTTATCACTTGGACCATAATATGAGTAACGCAGGTCTATGTCAGGGAATAGCATATATACATGCTACATATTAATGAAATGAATAATGCGTGAAAGTGAAAACGTACGTTAGTAATATGCGTAAAGAGTTCGTAATTTGTATTAATATATTCTACTGTAGTATCTGATATGGTGTTGGATATTCAACCGAGGATACGATTATGATTACGTGTTTAGAAAATATTGTTTGTGCATTAATAACAGAAGTGTTTATTTGTTTATAGTAAGTATTTATAGGCTCTTCAAGAAAAATATTATATTTATTATACTAGACAAAACTTACTATACAAATTTTAATAGCAGAAAGTTCATGTAAGTAGAAAATGTCCACGAGTGCCGCACCCTGGGGCATCGTGCTGAGAAGGCTGGCTACATTTCCCATTTCAATAGCTAAAGAAGGATGGCGACATCCCGTGTATTTTGTGACCCAATGTTTATGTCATTACTATTCAATTGATTATTTCATTAGGTGTTTTATAGCTTT